GGTTCTACCGTGTACGATCTGTCACCACTTATTATTAAATTTTTTTTCTTTTTTTTTTTTTTAATTCCAAGTGGGGAGATCTACCCTGGTTTTTTGGTTTACCTTTGTTACAGTTCCTTTGGGCCGGATAATTGCCTAGGGGATATATAAGAGTTAGTATGTACTATGTATGTGTGAAGCTATACTGAAGTGTATGCATGTGCGCTCTGTACTCGCTAACTATACTTCAACCTTCAACCTTCAACACTTTAAATAACGAACAGTAAATAGTAAATAGTAAATAGTAAACAGTAGATAGTAAACAGTAAATAGTAAACAGTAAATAATAAACAGCAAATAGCAAATAGTCCTATAACTATGTATTATATTCTGTTATACTCTGCTACGTGGCTTTTAATAAAAACCCTCAACATCTAAGCTACGGTGTAGAACTGAGTCTGCCATCTTATCGATCTCTTGTCTCCACTCAATTCTCCTCGTTCAGCATTTCCTCTTTGAGATCTTTTATCTTTAATATTCCTTTCCGAGCTTCCCCTTCATTCTCGAATTTAGTGGAGCAATGGAGCAATGGAGCAATAGCTATATTAGGGTTAAGTGGCATCACTTCGGAAGTCTGGGATATTTAGCCTGAAAGTTGCTTCTCAATTGTGTTCGAGACTGCCCACAGGTCTGTGTTCGACATTGCTAATATTCCTGACTGTCAGAGTTTCAATCTTCAGTCTTCATTTTGTATTATTTTGATACTATCCACTGATCTTTATCTTTGAGGTGGATGGGGTATGTAGCATGGAGAACATCTGCACGACACTATATTTCCGGGGTCCGATATATTTTTTTATATATATTTATATAAAAAGAAAGGAAAAGAAAAGAAAAGAACTCCCAAATATATTTCGACTGACAAGAATATTCCACTAATATCCTAATCCTGACATAACATAAAAGAAGTTACTGCTCAAATGTCCAATGCCATGATGTGTAATGCAGTACCGAAGTTGCCAAGCGTGGGTCACTCACTCTCCGCGTCTGCCTATCTCCTGTCTCTCTCCTATACAACTCCATCGGATTCTGGACATACTCATTTATCGGCATATGATGTCGGACGTCGCTCATTTCCCTTTTTCATACAGATCATGATCCTCCGGATCTCCGCACCCGCGTTACACCCTTGTTACAGCTCCCCGGAGCCCCGTATCCGTATCTCCCACAATGGGCGACGAGAAGTTTGATTATCAGGCTGTCCCCATCCCTTCTTACGCCGAAGCCACCGGTCAACCCTCGTCCTCTCGATCCGATCTTGGCGACGGAACAGATGTTGAACGACAGGGGCTACTCGGTCGCGATCATGCCTCCACCCGCGGCTACCACCCACCAACCGTGGAATCGGCACGCTCCAGCCTCGATGATCTAGAATCATTGACCTCACATTCTGACCGAGAGTCGGTGGAGGAACTACGGCGGGAACTTGATCAAATGGACGTGGATGATTCGGCATCGGCCTCCCTAACCGGCAGAAACGCCCCTCTACGACATCGTTTTTCCAAGCAGCTATCGAGTCTGAGTCGTACCCTGTCCGCTATACAACGACCCTTCCAACGATATATGCCCAGTTTCCGCTTTACGATAAACCTCAGTGACACGAGGGCACGCCTAAAAGATCAAGGGTGCATCATGCTTCTCCGAGTGTTCGCTCTTTTACTGGTGGTCACCCTAGTGTATGTGTTCTTCATCGCAGATGTCTTCAATATCAACAGTCGCATGGCCATGGGTCAGTCCTATAGCGCCGCCTCTGTCGAGAACTTCATCCAAGGCCACATCAACGAGACCAATATCGCCGAAAACTTACGACGAGTTACCAACTACACCCACATAGCTGGCACGGAAGGCAGCTTTGCACTATCAAAATTGATTGAACAAGAGTTCCAGAATGCAGGCTTCGATGAAGTGTCGCGGGAGGAATTCGAGGTCTACCTCAACTATCCACGCAAGGACGGGAGGAGAGTCGCAATTATCGATCCACCCAGTCTAGCTTGGGAGGCGAAACTCGAAGAGGACAACGCCAAGGACCTGATTTTTCATGGGCATTCGAAATCCGGCAATGTCACCGGGCATCTAGTGTATGCTAACTTTGGATCTCGGGAGGATTTTAAGCTGCTCGCAGATACAGGCGTTTCACTTGATGGCTCGATTGCCTTGGTCCGATACTATGGGACTGAATCTGACCGTGCACTGAAAATAAAGGCCGCTGAATTGGCCGGGGCTGCCGGCTGTATCATTTACTCCGACCCCTCTCAAGACGGATTTCGCAAAGGCCCGGCCTTCCCCGAAGGGCGGTACATGCCAAGCGATGGCGTGCAAAGGGGCGGTGTCAGCATGATGTCGCAGATGGTTGGCGATGTTCTCAGCCCTGGATGGGCATCCACGCCGGGAGAAAAACATCGTTTATCTCCCGAGGAGAGTGCTGGTCTACCCAAGATTCCCAGTCTCCCCCTCGCTTGGCGCGATGCACAGATACTCTTGCAGGGCCTTAAAGGCCACGGCTCCAAAGTACCAAAGGCTTGGGTGGGGGGTGTTCCCGATGTACAAGAGTGGTGGACTGGTGATCAGGGCTCCCCGGTCGTTAATCTGATGAACCTACAAGATGAAGTAGAGCGGCAACCTATCTACAACATCCACGGCAGGATCACCGGAATGGACGAGCGTGATAAGAAGATTATTGTTGGCAACCATCGAGATTCATGGTGCATGGGAAGTGTTGATCCTGGAAGTGGCACTGCTACTTTCCTAGAGGTTGTACGAGCCTTTGGTGAGTTGCTCACCTACGGATGGCGGCCACTTCGCACCATCGAATTTGTCAGCTGGGACGGAGAGGAGTACAATTTGATCGGCTCAACAGAACATGTCGAAAAGGAGGTCGATGATCTCCGTGCGAATGCGTTTGCCTACCTAAATGTCGACGTGGGTGTTGCAGGGCCCGATTTCCGTGTGTCTGCATCGCCCGTTTTTGAACGCACGGTGTTGCAAGTTCTGGGTCGTATCTCAGACCCCTATGCGAACGCGACACTGAAAGACATTTGGGATAAAAAAGGCTCAAAGATCACCCCACTTGGCGCTGGAAGTGATTATGTTGCGTTCCAGGATATCGCTGGTACCTCGAGCATTGACTTCGGATTCGAGGGCGAGCCCTACCCATACCACAGCTGTTACGAAACATATGACTGGATGGTTAAATTTGCAGACCCCGATTTCCAATACCATAAAATCCTGGCTCAATTCTGGGGGCTTCTTCTCCTTGACCTTTCGGAGAACCCCATGCTGCCATTTGACCTAGAAGTCTACGGCAACTCCATTGACGGATGGGTCAAGGACTTGGACAAATTTGCCAAATCCAAGAAGGCCGAGGTGGACATGGAACCCATGTTCAAGGCCGCGACCGAGATGAAAGCCAGTGCAGTTACATTCCAATCTTGGAACAAAATCTGGCACGATACCGTGTGGGGCATGGGCGGGTATGAAAGCAATATCATGGCTGTCCAGCGGGTAAACCATAATGCTCGAATGGCTGCCTTTGATACAAATCTACTTGACCTGGAAGAAGGCGGAGGTGTAAGTTGACGTTCTGCTTGAACCATTCCTCGCCCCCTAGCTAACGACTTGTACAGATCCCCAACCGCACACAATACCGACACGTTATCTTTGGACCAGAGCTGTGGTCCGGCTACGACGCCTCGATTTTCCCTGCTATCCGCGACAGCATCAACACAGGGAATTGGACATTGACCCAATATTGGATCGACCGGGTCGCCAACACCATCCACCACGCCAGCGACAAGCTGCTCCACTAATGTATTCTACCTTTCAGCCCTTTTCCTATTTGTCGTTCTTCTCAGCCATCCTTCATCCAGCTTATCGGATTGATTCTTTTGTCGCGTTCTAAACGAGCACTGTACAGCCCGACACCTGCCACGTGGTTGTCGGGATACCTATACCTGCATTTTGGGAACTTCTTCCATGCCCATCATATACCACGCATGTCTTGAGCTCATACAGGACTTAGCAGATTGTCCTTCTGTCGGTTCTATTCGTCGCGTCATCCCGCTTTTCTTGAGTGTATCTAGCTTCTCATCCTTGTCCCGAGGGACCGGCGTTCATATGGGGATATATCACATTTCGTATCTAGCTTTTAAGAGGGCTCCTCCAAACTTGCCAATCCACATGGGTTGCCTTCCTCTCTTCAACTGCTCCGCCCTTAGGGTAGTACTTACTTTTTCAGGGAAATATTTTGCCATTATTCTATCACTGGTCTAAATATATTGACCAAGTATAAAATCTGTCAATTCAACATCAGTTCTCCCTTGGCAGCCCTAATCCTGATTTTGAGAGATCCAACCAGGTGAAAAGAGAATTGGACTCTGACTAGGGGGTGCTGGAAAGAATCATGCTGTGAGAACGTACGGCCATGCCGCCGTCCACCACAAGAATTGGCTCGTTGGGCTGATAACTGATGATGCCATTGGAGATAAGCCGGTCAAATTTTGTGCAAATTTCATCTTAACTTAGATCCAGTGGCATTTTGATAGCAAATACGAACTGGGATTATTAACATATGAGAGGCTGCCAAGCTCAGAACAGAGGGGCAGAGGATAGACATGTCACACGACCAGAGCATAATATCACAGTATAGGCCTGTGGAATGGCGAATATGCTAATACTTCGTATTGTCCTTGGCTATACATCAAGACGCCAGACGGCTAATGTCACAGACCTTTTTTTGCCAACATCCTCGTTGGAATCTCCACACTTAGGGAGCTCTGCTGTCTGTTTGCGTGCACCATGACATTATTCGGGACTCAACAACATACATCATCTCGCATAAAGAGTATGATACCTCCATTACTACACTCAAATCCATACTGAACGTTGCACTCAATGTCACTTCGGCAATTAACAAACCAGCTGTCTTCTTGGATAATCCATTTGACATCCACACCATTCTCTCCATGCTGTCCTTCGAAGCTTCTAAATTCCACGTCGAGCGTTTCCAGCGGTTTATGTGGAAGCAGATAAACAAAGTGGAAGACCACCTCATGGGCCTCGAAATTAGCGATCGAGCTAAACTTAGAGACTTAACAAAGCAACTCCAGATTATGTCCTCAAATGCAGATTCACATATTGCCAATGCTGATGTGGCCATAATCACGCCCAAGGCCATTCGAAACGCCCACTCACGTCTCATCCCGTCGCTCCCTCAATCCAGCCCTTTTACAAACCAGCGAGCTGCTGATTCGATATCCTATACTATCTCCTCTATGGAGAATAGAGAATTTGGTTCTTAAACTACAAGCAGCGCAAAGACAGTACCATGTCCCTAGTCTACAATCTCGTGACGCAGCAAGATGCCAGCAATAATATACAAATCGCCCATAGCATGAAGCAAGACTCTACACCCATGAATGCAATCGCTGCTCTGACAATGGTCTTCCTTCCAGGTACCTTTGCAGGCACGGTGGTTGGTGCAGGGGTTCTGGGGGTGCCATCAGAGAAATGGTATGGCTAATTTGGGTCGCAATTACAGTACCGCGTACAGTAGGGGTTATGATTTGTTGGTGGTTGTATAAGAGAACAAAGAAGCCAATGGCCAAGGGGAGCATGATGATGGAGAAAGACAAAGCTGATTCCGCAGAGACAAGGACGAGTGCTTCTAGGAGAAGGTCTAGTGTTTTTTCCAGTGGCTTTTCGTTCCGGGGATTTAAGATCAGTATAGGTGAAGATATATAGTCCAGTCTAAATTATCGTTTTCCATATTGCATGGATATATGACCTCGTATGAGTAGCCTTCTTCTAGCACTATCCAGATAGTACTCACTCATGGATATTTATATAGCATCACAATTCCATCAAACTAAACAGGAGGCAAGGAAGGCTCAATCGCCAACAAAGACGGATGATCGGCCAAACTCTGCCAAAACCCTGCCTCGAAATCCCACAAATCCTGACTCAACAATGCCGCCCACTCATCATTCCCGTCAACCCCCGCCAGTTCAGGCGGAGGCTGCGCCGGGTCCGAATGAGTCGAGTCTAGAAAACGCTGGATAGTCCGCGTAGCCTTAGAAAGCAATGCGTAATTCGGATCCCCAGGTTTGACAATCGTCCCGATCTGCACCTCCGCTACAAACACACTGAGATCTTGTAACGACCGCGTCCGGTGCGCTCGTGGCATGTGCTGTTTTAACATGGCCAGAAGCATTATCCCCGCAGCTGGGAGGCCGTAATATGCGACCTAGTTAATACGTATATTAGTTGACTGCTTCGAACTTGGGGGGGGGGGGGGGGTTTTATAGATAGAGTATGTTATGTAAATATCAAGGCGATTTCATACATACCTTCCAAATAAGACCCGTCCCGGAATTAGTGAGCTGATCGCGCAGCAGAATAATCTCCACAACTAGCGTGAGCATCTGACCTGCGGTCTCGATGATCGGCAGATCGGGCTCGGTCGGTGATTTAAGAAGTAAAAGACGGAGCAAGAATAGTACATGTAAGTGGTGTAGCCGTACGCCGGCGACAAAGTCTCGCTCAAAGGGTCCTTGCGTACATTTCTTCAGACTGCTCTCGAGTCGGAAGTGGGCTGGCAGGTATTGCCACTGCGCCTCTGCTTGGCATTGTATTACGCTATATCATTTCTTGATTAGCTTTCCATTGAGATATTCGGTGCGGGCATTGATTTTTTTTTTTTTGAATACCTTGCTCGTTGCGCACATGATGGATCATGCTTGTCCTGGAGAAGCTCCCAGACCTCCTCCTTCAGTGATGCGCACAGCGCAGACCACCGCGTATCAGCCCGGTACCCAGGTTCCGCATCCGGGGTCCAGTCTGCCGAACCTTCTTCTGCGTTCCCGCAGGATGGGATCTGGAAGTGGCAGAATCGTTTGTTCATCCGTGGTGGGCGGCCGAGGAATATTGCTATGTTTTTGTCTGCCGAGTAGATCCGCGCAAAGGCTGTTTTGCGCAATTCTTTGAGGAATGGCGGGAGTCCTGTTTTGATTTCGATGTTCTCGTGGTAGCCTAGGGCGAATGTGGAGGATATTGCATCGCCTAGTTTGCGCCAGGAATGGTAGCCTTCGAGGGGTTAATATATGGCCAAGTAGAGGTAGTATTGAAATGGATGGCTGGTGACTTACTCTGATCTCCATCCACATAGGAATGGACGATAAAATTCTCGTATTGCATGATCAGTTGTAGATCATTCAGGCAATCTAGAGAGAGGGATATCTCCAATGCGAAGTCACAGAGTTTGGTGCATAGTCTTCGGAGTGTGTACTGGTCCTGCTCGGTGGTATATAGAGACGGGAAGAACGCAATGTCAATTGTTGCTCGACTGACAGCGGCAAAAAATATTCCTAATGTCTCCCAACGAGAATTGTGATCTAGAAATTGAGCCGAGAAACCAGCCAGGTCAGAGGTATCATTGAAGTGCAGTGGCTGGGCCGAGTTCTGCAAGAGACGTCTTGCATAGACTAGATGCCAGTTATCGTCATGATAAGTGAACAATTGGCTCACGCTCTGGGCACATTGGTTAACAAAGGGCTCTGCCAGGGCTAGGTTAGCTCCTTTAGCTAGCCAAAACATAATGAGATCTTTCATGGCGGACAATTTGTATGTCGTCAAGAGGTGTTTGAGGATATCTGCGCCTTGTAGGACCAGATGGTTATCCCCGAATAAGTCCGAGTGCAGGTCCTCTGGTGCTGCTTGATGAGTACCGGGGCCATGGTCTCCATCCGGAGTGATGTGCTTGAATATAGCCGCATGGCTGGACGATCCGAGATACCCAGGGTTTGGGTATGGATTACGTCTTGGATTAAATGACGGCGATTCATCTGATGAACCAAGGCTACAAAATACAATTAGTAATTCGAATGCAGTCCAGGCAAGTATGAAACTGACCTTTGTTTCTCGACTCTTTTCCGCTTGAAGGGCGTAGTCCTGTAGATGCAAATACCCTTGCTAGCGCTGCACCGCGTGCAAACTGGCAGCTGATGGTCGCATGCTAATTTAGCCTTCCTGCAGGCTTCACAAGCAGCCAGACGCGACATGGCTGTTCTGGCGGAGTTTCGCCCGCCAGTGGAGACAAAAGAGTGAAGTCGGCTAACAACGGCGAGATCGGAGTGTCGGAGAATCGGCGTGTCGGCAAGATAAGATGCGGGGATCCATCCATCTATATAAATGCTAGTCTTTCTTCTTCTCCAACTCGAATACTACATCCATTATGACTCAAGATATAAAGCTCGCAGAATATCTGTTCACTCGGTTGCGCCAGCTGGGCGTCGACTCCATGTTCGGCGTCCCTGGTGACTACAACCTTCGCCTATTGGATTTTGTTACTCCGGCCGGCCTCCACTGGGTGGGCAACTGCAATGAACTCAATGCCGCCTACGCGGCCGATGGATATGGTCGCATTAAAGGCTTGTCTGCTCTGATCACCACATATGGCGTTGGTGAGCTGTCCGCTATCAACGGTATTGCAGGCGCCTACGCCGAAAACACACCTGTGTTACACATTGTCGGAACTCCACCGCGCCCGCTTCAAAGCGCGCGCACGTTTATGCACCACACTTTCTCAGATGGTGACTATCGTCGCTTTGCAGACATGTCGAAGCATGTCACTGCAGCTCAAGTGAGGCTTGAAGACGCCGCCACAGCACCGGAAAGGATCGACTATGTCCTACGCGAGGCGTTGGTCCACAACCGCCCGGTCTACCTCGAATTCCCTGATGATATGCCCGACGTGTTGGTGTCAGCTACAAATTTGGAAACGAAGATCTGCATTCCACGGTCACCGAGCTCTATCCAAGAGCCCCAGGTGCTGGCTCGCATCTTGGAGAGAGTGTACAGCGCCAAGCGTCCGTTCATCTTCGTGGACGGAGAAAGCACAGGTCTCGGTATTGTCGACCAGCTCGATGCTCTGATCAAAGCAACCAACTGGCCCACATGGACAACCGTGTACGGCAAAGGCCTAGTCAACGAGCAGCTGCCAAATGTGTATGGGCTGTACGCAGCAGCCTTTGGCGACAAGCCAGCGCAAGAGTACTTCGAGGAAGCAGATCTGATCCTAACATTTGGACCGCACCACAGCGATACCAACACCTATTTCTACACAACAATCCCCAAGCCCGCAGTGGCAATCACCTTCTCGGGCAGCACCGTTCAAATCGAGAATGATACCTATCGTGACCTCTCCGCCCGCAACATCCTATCAAACCTACTCCAGAACCTCGACTCCACACGCCTAGTTCAGGCCACCGGACCCCCGAAACAAGAAATCACATTGGCCAACATCCAGAACACAGACCCTATCGCCCAAGACAACTTTTATCGCCTGGTAAACCCGCTCTTCCGCGAGGGCGACATAATCCTCACTGAGACAGGCACTGCCTCGCACGGCGGTCGGAACTTCAAACTGCCTGCGAAATCCCGCATCTTCGGCGCAGTGACCTGGCTCTCGATTGGATTCATGCTCCCGGCAACATTAGGCACAGCGCTAGCGCAGCGTGAGCACAATAAAGGCACAGAAAGCAAGAGCCAGACGATTTTGTTCATCGGCGACGGGAGTCTGCAGATGACGGCGCAGGAGATCAGTGTGATGATCCGCGAAAAGCTGAACATTATCATTTTTATTATTAATAACGACGGGTACACCATTGAGCGGGTGATCCACGGGCGCAAACAGGTGTACAACGATGTGCCGTTCTGGAGACATGCGCAAGCGCTGAACTATTTCGGGGCCGATGAAGAGCATGCGGCAAATAATACCTTTACTGCGAGGACTTGTGGCGAGTTGAAGGATGTATTGGCTAATGAACGGATTCAGAATGGGTCCGGGGTGAGGCTTGTTGAGGTTTTGATGGATAGGGAGGATGTACAGGGGGCTTTACTGTATTTACTGAACAAGCAGCTTGCTCAGGAGAAGGAGGCTGAGCAGCAGGGGCAGACTTAGAGTGAGAGAGAGAGAGGGATGTCACTTCGAAGGTTGTTTCATAATTTATGTATATGTTTTACTACAGTTTCCTTGGATGGCAGTTTTGATCAAATAAAAGTAAAATGATGTCTTACTATGATTATTGCGTGTTTCGCTCCTAGTACACGAAATGAGAAATCCTTGAAAGAACAAAACGAGCCCAAGTAAACGCCGATTCCCTATGCTCCAGATCCGCCATGCACACAGTGTTGTGAAATTAGAACAAAAAGAGGAATGACCCAAACATCTCAAAACAGACATCTGCTTGAACATGTCATGGGGAGTCTATAATTGACCTGTATTGCTGAGAGAAGGTTCAGTCATGTTGAATTGTGTTTATTTGCGGAAGCTTTCAACCCCTAGGGTTGGGGTCTCCACCATGCGATCAGAGGGGACGCCCTCGTCACGACGACGGGCGAAAAAGCTATCGCATTCGGAGACAATGTGTGCCCACTCCGCAAGGGCGCGGCCGGCATATTTGCTAGGCACAAGATGGTCGTAAGATGGTTGGGAAGGAAGTTCAGGTAAAGGGGAGTTCTTGG